AAAAAAAAAAAAAAAAAAAAAACATGTGTCATTTTTTAAATAGGCCACATCATTGTGGAGGAGGCATCAGGAGCCAAGCATTGTCCTTTTAGAAAACCCAACCCGTTAGTTACATTAAAAATTTAGATTATTATAAATAAACCCAATTCTAGACATGTATTTACAAAAAAACTCACGCACTATTTAAACATAGAAACACACCCAAAAGCAACCCCAAAATCAACAATTGTATATTTTTTGGGTGTGTTTATAAATGGGTCTTTTGTGTGTGTAATGATGGGTTTTGGGTGTGTTTATAAAGTGTTTTGGGTGTTGGGTTTTTTTATAATTTCAACCCCCATTTTGGGTGTTTTAGTGAAACTCCCTTAAAAATTAGGTTAGATGTCTTCTTCTTCCTAGCGTCACCTACTCCTTCCTCTCGTTGTTTCGACTTCATCACTCTCTCGGTCTTCCTTCCTAACAAGCAGTGCCTTAGTGCCACCTTAAGCGTCGCCGCCTCCTGCGCGCTTCAACCGCGCCTCGTCGACGCCTCAACGGCAAAACGCCAGGCCTAGGCGGGCGCTAGGCGGGGGCTAGGCGGCCGAGGCTGGGGCTAGGCGGCCTAGGCGGCGCCCAACTCCCTGGCGCCTACGCCTTAATGAAGATGCATGATTTATACAGATTTTACTCATTGTAAGTTTGTAACTTTCTGCAGAGATTGAGGCTATAAGACATCCATTGAAGTGCCTAATTTTTATACTCATTTCTGTGGCTGTGTGCTATCTGGTTTCTTTTCTTCTTAAATTTTTAGTTATTGCATCGCGTATGCAGGACATAGAGTGGTTGAAATCTATTACAAACTTGCCAATTCTGATCAAGGGAGTACTCACTCATGAAGTTGGTAAGATGAACTGATCAAGGCTTACGACGGTTTTTTTGTTACCGTCGTCTTTTTAAACACAACGACGGTTTTTTCTTCTACCGTCGTCTTTTTCTGGTCATCTTTTTCACTTTTTGTAGTAGTGATATCTCGTCTCTTGTAAACCTGTTCAGGAAATAGTACCATTTGATAGAAACTGAAAAAACTGTAAACAAGAAGAAATATTCCTGTAAAGAAAAACTTGTCAAGTGAAATTAAAATGAGTTCAAGAGAGAATAAATACATATAATTGAAAGAACCGAACAGCATCCTCCACTGTGCACGTAGACATGTTGGATAAAACCTACAATGAAAAATACAACAATTCAAAAACCTAACTACACATGTATTAGCTCAAACTGTACAATGAGCATTAGCAGACTAACTAGATATAAAAAAACTAGTTTCCATTTCAACACCTATTTCTCTTGAGCATTTTTCTCATTTCCTTCTCTTGGACCCGTGCTTCTTTATATAAATTTATACCAAAATCATGCAAAATAAAAGAATATATAAAAGAAAATTTCTAACATTTTCGAACCTTGATATTATCCGACTTTTACTTTTGTATTTTCTGTAACCTTTATATTAAAAAAACAAAAACAAAAAACTGCAATAGGGCCATTTTAATACAATGTTTAAGCCCATTTTACAAAGGACAATGCTTGGCTCCTGATACATCAGGAGCCATTCCTCCTCAACAATGATGTGGCCTCTTTAAAAAATGACACATGTTTTTTTTTTCTTTTTTTCTTTTTTCTTTCACTGACTCTCTCTCTCTCTCTTATCACCCACTCTCCTCTCCTCCCCCAACTCTCTTCTCTCATCTGCCCTTTTTTGTTTCATACAACAATTTCTTATCATCGGAGCCTTCGATAGTTCTCCCTCTTCATCATGGGCAGGTGCATTACCATCAAATTTCTGACGAATGCAGCACCATGATTCACGCATCCCTTCCATTCTACATTGTAGATCTAGATCTG